ATTATTCTATATGAGACCACTTCAGCACTGGCTTCACGATCGAGTCCCCAGACGCGCATGGCACGCGCGCGCACCGAGTCTCTGTTACTGCGCTGTGTCGCCGCGCCCTCAGCCCTTGGAGCGACCCCTCGTTCCTACAGGCCTGGGTGTCTCTAGAACAGGCGTCCAGTCTTGTTGTCGTTTCAGCAGACACTTCCAACACGGGCTGGGGGGCTGTGCGTTGCGGGCATGCGGCTGCGGACCTGTGGAAAGGTACCCAGTTGCATTGGCATATCGCCTGGAGCTGTTGGCAGTGTTCCTCGCTCTCCACCGTTTTTTTCCGGTGCTGGAGCGGCAACACGTGCTGGTCAGGACGGACAGTACGGCGGCGGTGGCGTATATCAGCCGTATAGGGGGTATGCGCTCTCGCCGCATGTCTCAGCTCGCCCGCCGTCTGCTCCTCTGGAGTCATCCGCGGCTGAATCGCTGCACGCCATTCATATTCAGGCAAGCTCAACCGTGCAGCCGATGCGCTCTCACGGCAGCCTTGCATCCTGGAGAATGGAGACTCCACCCCGAGTCTGTTCAGCTGATATGGGCGCGATTCGGGGAAGCCCAGATCGATCTGTTGCTTCCCCCGAGATCGCTCATTGCCAGTTGTTCTTTCCCTGACCGAGTGCTCTCGGCACGGATGCACTGGCTTACAGCTGGCCTCGGGGCACGCGCAAATACGCGTTTCCCCCAGTGAGCCTGCTCGCGCAGTTACTGTGCAAGGTCAGGGAGGATGAGGAACAGGTTGCTGGTTGCGCCCCTCTGGCTCAACCGGACCTGGATGTCAGAGCTCTCCCTCGCGATAGCCCTCCCCTGGCAGTCCCTTCGAGAGAGCACCTACTCTCTCAGGGACAGGGCACCACCTGGCACCCTCGCCGATCTTTGAAGAGATTTTTAGACGCGAGGAAGACTTAGGTAACCTCCGATTGCGGTGGCTAATACCGTCACTCGGGCTAGAGCCCCCTCCCCGAGCGCGCCTATGCCCTGACGTGAAGTCTATTCACTGAATGGTGTGTCTCTCGCTGAGAAGACCCCCGTAATTTGCCAGATCAGCGTTGTGCTTTCTTTACGCCGAGAGAAGTTGGAGAGCAGGCTGTCGCCCTCCACACTCAAGGTTACGTGGCTGCCATCTCCGCTCTCATAACGCGGTGGCTGGCAGCACCGTGGGAACGCATAACCTCATCATCCGGTTCCTCAGGGGCGTTAAGCGAATTAATCCACCCCGCCCCCTCTCATGCCCTCTTAGGATCTCGCCCTCGCTACACAAGCCGCGTCAGATCCCTTCGATCCTCGACTCAGTATATTTCTGTCCCTGAAGACAGCTCTGCTGGTCGCGTTGATATCGATTAGAGGGGTCGGGGACCCGGAGGCATTTTTCGGTCAGTGACTCGTGCCTGTAATTGGGCTGGCTTCTCTCACGTATGAGACCCCGCCCGCGATATGTGCCCAAGGTTCCTACCACTCCGTTTTAATACGAGGTAGTGAGCCTGCAAGCGCTGCCCTCGGAGGAGGCAGACCCAGCCCTTATTTATTGTCCAGTTCGCGTTTTGCGTATTATCCGGACCGCACTCAGAGTTTAGATCATCTGAGCAGCTCTTCGTCTGTTATAGCGGTCGGCAGCAGGGAAGTGCCGTACCGAAATAAGTTCCCACTAGATTGTGGATGCCTTTCTTTCACTATCAGAGCCGAGATGAGCCGCGTCCCCCGAGAGCGCGTGCGCACTCCACTCGGAGCTTCGCATCCTCTCGAGCGCGCGCACGCGGCGCCCCTCTAACAGACATCTGTAGAGCTGCGGGCTGGGTGACACCCAACACATTTGCAAGGTTTTACAATCTGCGAGTGGAGCCGGTTTCCTCAAGGGTATTAGGTAACCCTTGGTGATTGAGGAAACAATTCGGTAGGGTGTTGAAACACGCTTGCTGCGCCATTTTCCCTAACACGGAGATACGTGCGCCTTTTTATCTGTCAGTAAAGTTCCCCGTCAGGTGAGCCCTGCAGATTCCTCCGTGGCCCCCAGCACTGACTCAGCGGAGGAGTCACTTGCTGGCCCACTACGTTGTAGGTCTGCCCGCTGGTCAGCCCGCGTTTTGGGTAAAGGTGCCTGCTATGAGTGATCCCCACTAGGCGATCCCATATGCTTATTCCGCCACGGTTAAGTCCCCCCCCTGGGCGGACCCGTGCCTTCCCTCCCCACTAACCACTCTTTGCTATGCGTACTCCCCCTTTTTAGGGCTAGTCCATATGTAATTCTGCCATCTATCCCCCCTTGGGTAACGGATGGCCTCCGCAGCGTCCTCCCTATGGGAATTGCACGCTTCCCAACGTACTGTCGTATTTTCCTAGAATTATCTAGATGCTCACGACTTCCCAAAAAATATATATAATCCGTAAAACTTCTGTTGAAGTAGGATAAATTAGGGCCAGGGACACGTTGGAGGACCGCGCCCCCCATGATGTGGGTGCGTCACGCTTGCTTGACTATCTCCTCATCGGGGGTGTTGGTAAGGTGCAGTCATTATGGCGCTTTCAATGGGCTCCCAATGCGTGGATTTTACAATCAAATCCACTTATAGTGCTGAAGTTCCCCCCGAAGGGGAACGTTCGAGGTTACTAAAGTAACCCTTCGTTCCCCGAGGAGGGGAACGGAAGCACTATACTCCGTCGCCATAATGACTGTCCCTTAGCTGTTGAAAGTCTCTTCAGCTTAAAAAGGATAGCGTCTGCTGGCGCCAGGTGAGCTTATATACTCAGTTGATTGCTTATGCCGCTCACCTGCGCAGGCTTGCGCTGCCAATTCATTCTTAATTGGCCCGTTCAATACTCTTTCAGACGAGTAGCTTCTGAACCGAACCTCCCAATGCGTGGATTTTACAATCAAATCCACTTATAGTGCTTCCGTTCCCCTCCTCGGGGAACGAAGGGTTACTTTAGTAACCTCGAACGTTCTCCAGCGATCTGCATGGGCTAGATCGCTAGTGACTGTGACACCAATATTTTGCATGAATTTAAATGTATTATCTTACTCTTTCTAAAGATGTTCTTTGACGAAAATATTATTTTAATAATTTTATCCATTTATAAAATTTGTTTTGTTCAGATGCACTAAAATATATGACCTATATTCACTGAGAAATGAATAAAAATATTCCTTTTCTAAATGGGATGTTACTGATTTTTGTTGAGCACTGTATATAATGCATTCTACTAAAAGCATTAATAATGCATGGCAATTCATTCATAATGTCCTGTAATAGACCTTATTACCCTAATCAGTATATTACTTACCTTTCTCGTAGCTATAAAAATAAGAGTTACATGTAAAAGTAATGCTGTATAGCATATTTAGGATCAGGACCGTTGAGGTGGTTTATTTTTTGACTGCTTGCACATATTTTTTTCTATTACATGGCTACTTATGAAATAAATGGACATTAATGAATGATTTGAGGTGAAATATCCTGCTTTTAAAAATAAAGACATAAAAATATGGTTGCCTAGGAAAATGGTTTGTACAGCTCAGTGCATAATGCTTAATACATAAAGACACATTATCAACATTGCTTTGCATTTGTTACTGTTTGCCAGCATGTTAAGTAATAAGTGCAAATACAATAGAATATTTTGTACCAGATTTGCTAAACAGGGCAAACTACCATGAAATCACAGTCTCATAAAAGCACTGATAAGAGAGGATATTTCTGCAAGTTATTAAAGGACACGGAAGCAGCAGCTCATTTCCGGACTGACCAATGTAATACTGCAAGAACAGATTAAATTGGTGTACGGTCGCAAACAAGCCATTAATAATAATCAATATGATTGTTAGTGATCATTTATATGAATACCATATACGTTATACAGCATTTCTGTATTTAAAAAGAATTCAAATTGTTAATTTCCACTGATTTGGTGCCAGCAAAGCTGTCAATATTTAGTAAAATTGGTTTTAACATCATTTTGCCTTTCCAGGTAAATCATCACAAGTGTGCAGTGGTGGAAAGAGAAATGACAAATCATACTCGAGTAAAACTACCACTACTTGCCTAAAACTGTAGTGCAAGTAGAGTAAAAGTATCTGTTGTAAATATTACTTAAAGTATGAGTAAAAAGTAGCCCTTTCAAAAGTACTCAAGAGTAGTAAGTGATGAATATTACGCTGTTAAAAGCTGATGCATTTACATGTAATCTTAAACCAACGTCATATTGACGTCAAATACTTACATTTATTTGTCAGGTATAGCAACCAAAATCCAACATTTGATTGACATCATAGTGGTAACATCCACACAAGTTGTAACATCATTAGACGTTGATATTTGGTTGACTTTAGTGTTGGATGTTTTCTAATCCCCATAGACAAAAATAAACAAAGTAGTGAGTAAAGTAGGGAGGTTGAAGGAAAGTTGTGGAGTAAAAGTACCGATACTGCACTAAAAATGTACTCAAGGGAAAGTAAAAGTAAACATTTTCAAAACAAATTAGTAAATTACAATTCCTGACAAAAACTGCTTGATTACAGGCATTTAAGTATTTGTATTTTGTTTTTTTGTACAATTGTGTAATATGCTCGCCTTCTACCGTGTGCTCTCTTTTATTCCAGCAGCGATGTTAGATGCAGCTTTTTTATCATTTTTATTTTTGGCATTGAATAGTGGAGCAAATTCCAGTAAATAAAGTTTTGCTAAACTTAATAAATCATGCTGCACAATTCATTTAAATACTGTCCTCTCTTACATTTATCACATACATATGCAATAAGTTCAACTCCAAAGATAACTAATGGTAAAAAATCACAAATTTTAACTGGATGTTTTTAATACATTCATACAGGGATTTCATTTATTGGTAAAAGAGGGTTTGCATTGAAGCTCATTTCATCACTGTTTAATACTTGTGTGATCATGAATTATCTGTATAATGCATTAAATGGACCAAATATTCCTTCTGAATTCTTGTTTACTTCTCCTTAGGAAAAATCCATAAACACTTATGTGTCAAAGAGTGCCGCACCCTCCCCCAAGCCAAACATAGTGGTGGACAGCCCTCACTCTGAGTAGAGATGTGAGTACACACACACATGGACACACACACTGTAAATAGATGGGGTGCTTCCACACGTATGGGATCTGTGCGGGTGAATGAATCGAACTGTTACACAGCAGTGCTTCAGGTTTCAGTCATGAATGAACACAGGCTAAAAACATCAATGACTGTGTTCACAGCAGCAGAATACAATTGTCAGTCCTGTAACTATGGTTACATTTACTCAGTTTTGTTATGAAAAACTACATTCACACGGGGCGTCAGCTTCAATGCTTCCCATTCACTTTGAATGGGTGACGTCACGCATTGCCAAACTGCATTGTGGATCCGTCGGCGCCGCTTCAGTGGCGTTGCCCGCTGCAGAAGTTGAGACTTGCTCAACTTTTCAAGCGCCAATGGAAGCATCAGCCAATCAGATCGCTGTATGCAAATACACCAGCTCAGACAGTGGCCTATTGCTGACTAATTTCATTGGCTGACGCTGCTATGTCAAAATTCAAATTGACGCTAAAGCCCTGTGTGAATGGGTTATACAGGTCCCAGATCATCAGGTAAATATAGATAAATGGAGAGTTGTCTCCTATTAGGTCAATGTTATTGTTTTTCAAAACAATATGCTTTTGGAGGAAAAATGATTGCACCAGTTGCATTTTCAGGCATGGTTCTTTTGTGCAAGGAAACGGTTTTGTAAGTTAACTTCATTGTAAAACCAAACAGTCAACTTTAACAAATGAAATGAGTGTAGTTAACTCAAAATTGACTGAAAGGTAACTCTAATCATTTAAAAAGAGTTTTGAACTCAGCGTTGAAGGTAACAAGTTAATTAAATACTTCATTACTTTAACTTAAATGGAGTAAGGTCACAGTTCCCACATAGACTCGTTTTTGAACTTAAATGGTTTGTAGCACTCGGTTCATTTATTGGGTATTATTGTGCTCAGATTGTTTCGTTTACTCAAATGGATTAAGTTTACAGTACTCATTAGGATTAGTTTTTGAACTTAAATGGTGTGTTGCAATCGGTTTCCTCAAATGGTTTGAGTTGCCTTAACTTTTGGGGTTTTACAGTGTTGTCTTCAAATGGGCTTAAATCCAATATATGACAAAATAGGTTATTTTTATCTCTAGATTCAAATATATTTGAGAGAAAATACAGCTGCCGATCACAAACACTTTACGAATGCTACCATCTGTTCCCTTAAGCTATTTGTAACATTTTGTTCTTCTTCATATGGCTAACCATGTTTTTTTTTTGTCTTCTGTTTCTTTCCCATCCTCAGGTCAGCATTATCTTTTTAGCGACGGGAATACATTCTTTCTTTTCACCTGTGAATAATTGTTCATCAAGAAAGAAGCAGAGAAGAGAGACTGTGCTTGTGTTAGTGCTATTCCTCTAAATCAACCCTGCAGACCCAACACAATATATAGAAAAGAAAACAACAACACCTAGACTAGACCGGACACAAAGCACACACAGATACACACTCAAACAGACAAAGAACACACACCAGACTCATAACAAAACAACTGGCATGGATGGTTTTGCTTCAGGAATGATGTTAAAGTCAAAATATGTCATGATTTATTCAGGGGAAATATGACAAACATTCCCACTTTAAATAGATAATCTTTATTTAGTTATTTGAAACTGAGCCTACAAAAAAAAGAGATTTTAATTACTTAAAAAAGAACAAAAAAATAAATATATATATATATATAATCAGGAGAGAGACCTGATAGATTATGGACCACGAATGTTTCTGTGTATGTGTGAGCGCATGTGCGTACGTGAGTTTGTACGGGTGTCTGTGTGTAGCTATAGAAAATCTTTACAAAGTGTTTTCAGTCGGACAAGTAGCTGCAAGTTCTGGGAGTGCTGTATCCTTGTTTCCTGTTTCTCTGGAGAGGAGGACTACTTTATGACCGTTCCCATCTGGAGGAGGAGAAATAAGCACGGATACGTTGGCCAAATCATGTCACGCAGCATTGAAATGTGTCCCTCTGCCTTCTACATTTTTATCACCTTCTGCTCGGAGCTCTTGGAGATCGGCAGCGTTTTCTTTTATTTGCGTTTGTTTACTAGAGTCCAGTCATTCTTCTTGTTCTACCAGATACTGAACGAAAGAGTATGTTTCATTGACCTGGACACACTGGCAGACTGAATCCCCTTGAGAACTCTTCCAATGGGAGCTTTCATTGATTTCAAACATTGCCAGCGGACCCTAACTGGGACTGAGCTTGGATTTGTGTGCACTTCCTGGAAACATATCCAAAGGGGGGAGAGAGAGAGAGAAAAAAAAAAGATCTGGCCATAGTATTTTATTTTTATACCACGCCAAGATTTTTTTTCTCTCAGACATTTTTAATTTCAAAAGAGGAAGAGTGTGCTCTCCATCATCCTTCTGCCAAGAGGACCACTTCTGAAACACACACACACACACATTCGTCCACTTTTTCTTTCTAATTTTTCCTCCCGTGTATCTGATGTGTTTGTGGGAGTGCTCTTTTTGTGTCGATATGCGTTTGCTCGTTGGTTTGGATGTGTGCGCGTGTATGCCTGTATGTTGGTATATGTCACCGTGACCCCGTGTACGTCTCCACTTCCCTCGCCTTTGTCCTGCACAGAGAAAATCTCATTTTTTGAACAATCAAGTGTCTCCTGTCCTGTGTCTTAGAGGAACTATTTCTTGTGTAGGACCTGTTGCACTTGGTAGGGACAGGGTCTATTTCTCAGATGCGCGTTTCGGTCGTTCTCTGTAGAATGTGGTTGTGACCTGTCTCCGTTGTGTCCCTAACCAGCTCGTCCCTAGCCTGATCTGTGTTCTCGTGTTGGGTGTGCTTCTCTCACTCTTTTTCCTTTTCTTTTTTTTTGTAAATGTGCTCTGTATGTAGGAGGGGACAGACCTGATGGCCACAGCTAAAATGTTGGAAGTTTTTTCATTGTCTTTAAAAGAAAAAGTGGAGAAAAAAAGACAAACTGGTTCTCTTCATCTCTTTTTGGCTAATGTGACTATCTTTTATGTCTGAGCATTCCTTGCGAACAGAGACAAAGAGGGGGACATTTGTTTCACCTTTCCACAAGATTACTTTTAAAGTTTTGACATTACAAACTGACTTCAGATGCATTTTATTTTCTCGTAAACGTTCAGGTTGCTGCTTCTCTAGTCAGAGCATTATCAAAACCTTCACATACCCTTGATACCCAGGGTCACTGCCGCTATTAAAAGGATCATTTGCCCAAAAATTTCAATTCTGTCATCGCTTAAGGCCCAGAAACTTTTAAACCTTACAGTTTGCTTTGGCTGGTGAACACCTATAAAATACTATTAGTCCATTGTGATGATGTAATAATTAGGTGTGGCTACTCTCTAGTTTTCTTAGTTTCGTTCCATTTTAGGGCATCACGGTGGCGCGGTGGGTAGCACTGTCGCATCACAGCAAAAAGGTCGCTGGTTCAAGCCCTGGCTGGGTCAGTTAAATTAGAATTTTCTAAGCTAAATTGGCCGTAGTGTATGTGTGTGAGTGCACCAGTGTATGGGTGTTTCCCAGTGTTGGGTTGCAGCTGGAAGGGCATCTGCTGTGTAAAACATATGCTGGCTACATTGGCGGTTTCTTCTGCTGTGGCGACCCATGATTAATAAAGGGACTAAGCGCGAAAAAAAAAAAAGAATGAATTCCATTTTAAGCTTGTCATGGTAGTATGTTTGTGATAAAATATAAACACTGAGAAGCTGCTTTAGATATATACACTAGATATCGCATACGGGTCCCCTTCTAGGACAATTGTTGTTTAACCGCACTAGTCAAGACTAAGGCCAGTCGGAAGATCCTGGACTTTTGCATTGTGTATGGGTGTAGTAACGAGCAACCAAAGAAAACAAAGCATAAAGGCATCACATTTTTTAGGTAAGATTTCATTTTTTACATTTTTGTATGTTACGTATTTTTGTGCTAAACAAGTAGCATTATTGATGATAATACAGTCTCTTACTGCTCTGATCATAAGGCAAAGTAGCACCAACTCGCGCTAAACACTAGGCTTATGCTAGTTTTGTTGAATAAAATCAGCAAACAATGTAAAGGGAATATGACAACAAGACGCTGTGGTGCCAGAAACTTTATTATATTATAAACTTTATCATATTTTCGGCTGTAATTCAAGTAATGGCTAGTTTTTGAAGTAACTTCGAAGGGTGTCTGATAATAACAGTGCCTGCGCCTCAGTGTGCAAACTGTCCACCCTAAAATATTGAATAATACAAATGTTACATAAAATTAGATCAGAAAGGTAGATATGCACATTGAGATGCAGGGTTATCGATGGTTCACACAAGTCATTCATAACGGAGATTCACAAACGAATCAGTCCCTCCATTAGCATTAGAAGTGAAAGCAGGAGAGGGGGTGTGTTTCAGGATACAGATCAAATTTAACAGGGAGGAAGAATAATTCATTTCCCTACACAAAAACAATCGCTCTTTGTCAGCAATGCCCGTGCGATCACTTATCCATCTATAAAGAAAAGTTATGTCAAATTATAATATGTCATAATACTGACCACCGGGAAAACTCCAGATTATAGATATATGTATATATGCCTATATATCTATGGCTTAGGGTGGCCAGTCCTCTACTGCACCTTGGTCCCATATTCATTTCAAAAGAGCACTACTCTGAACTAAAATGGCGGCTCTATTGACGCATTCCTTCCAACAGACAACAATAGCGTAGGCGACATCTAATGGAAAATCTATGTAAAGCAGTCTACTTTATAAAGTGCAATATAAGTGAATGTTTGCTCATGCAAACATACACATAACTATCATCAGATTAATTCTTTACTGCTGTTTTCTCACTGTTGTCGTTTGAGTTGTACATTTATTCAGATATTGAGTGGAAAACATGAGTCTGCATTTACATGTTCATCTGCACATTGCTCTCAGCAGCATGGATGCCACCAGTTGCTCGCTAACAGTGTGTCACTGCTCAGGTACTTCGAATTTGAAAACGTACTATATCTTGAGAATTTACTTTTTTGTCAATAGCTATGTTTTCAAGCCCCTAGTTTGGTTATGTGTATAAAAAACAGTTGATGGAAGTGCCAAGATGCACATAAGTTTTGAAAATACGAAGAAAAAAAAATGCGCATAACTGAGTAGGATCAACTTTTTATTCGGCAAAAAAGATCAGCAAAACACTACGATGGAGACACTTTTACAGATCGAATTCCAGTATGCGCATTAAAAAAGTCATGTGATTTTGTTATAAGAGATCATGTGATGATACAAATATGTGTAAATGGACAAACCAGCAGGCTGAGCACACTGTAAAACATCTGAAATGTTGCTTTGGTTATTCTTAAATGCTTTAACCATTTCAGTATTCATGTTATTATATTATTAATTACCTCCAGAACTGTAAAGATCATCTGTGCTTTGCTTTTTACGCCTTCAAACGCCACCACGCGTTCATTGCGTGACGGCATTGTCTTCTGAGGCGCAAGTATTTTATTAAATTGAGAAAAGATTGAGTAGCTTCTTCTACCGCAGTAAATTATATTTTTACTGTTGATATTTGGCGCCAGATAATCAAGAAGTGTAGATTTTGTTGTCTTTGACTCGGATGAAAAGGCTGCTTTATTCGCATGTCTTTCATGCGATATTCCAGTTTTGCGCATAAATGTATTTCACATCTTTAAATGAAAACATAGCTAATGTCTTCCTTTGTTGTTTTTGGACGTTCATTGGCTTTTAGTTCACAATGTTATCTTTTGTAGATAATCATGCTGGTTTGGAATAAAACGATGACAGAATTTTAATTTGAGGTGAACTATCCCTTTAATATCGCAGTACAACCACTGCCAATGCTGCCGCACACATCCCTCAATGGAGGAATTCTGCATTACCAATCACTACCGCTCATGTTATTGAAATGTACATCAGTATAATTATTTCCCACCGTAGCCCCCTGAGCTCATATTTTCTCTGTTTCTATTATTAATCACATGCCCGGCCTCAGGACATGCACACACTCACACACACTCACTCACACACACGCACACACTCTTGCCAGTGTGCGCTCAGTCCGTTATCGTATATCAGCTCTTGTTGTTTTCTAAGAGGCCATTGATTCCGTCATACACGTGGATGTGGTATCGACCCACAGTCTCCAGGCCCATTTCTTCTGCTGCCTTAGATCTTACACTGTGGAGGCACGATCCCTGTAGCGTGACCTCTGACCCCTTCATCAGCTTACACACTAGACTCAAGAAACTTTCAACCCCCCAGCTCATGTTTTTAGCTCTTGGTTGGTCTCCCCTCTTTCCTCTGTCTCACTATGTCAGTGCAATTCTGAATGATCCTGAGGAAATGTGTTTGCATGCTTATATTAACATGGATGATGTCAACTTGATGCAATGATAATTTAATGAGTGATGCTCAACACAGAAATCTGACGATGATCTTGATACTAACACTACTAATGACAAACATGTTGACCTAGCAACCTGTTCGTTATCATCGAAACACTGATGATTAATGTTGTTAATATTGTATATCCTCTTTGAAATGGTATTACAGTTTCTGGGTATACTTTTGTTTGTTCGTTCGTTTGCTTTTTTAGTTTTATTCAAGGAAAAAAAAATAAAGGTTTACTTTTTTATATGTTCAGATTAAGCTGAGATTAAGAGCTAGATTAAAATGAAATGCAGTCAGGGCGAGAGAACATTTCAGCTGAAGAAAAAAACAACAACAAACAAAAACAAAATTGCAAAAAACAATAATAATAATAATGAAAAAATCCCCCAAAAAACTGTTAGGAGGATGAATATGTGAATGATAAGAAGATGATTCTAAGGCTGGAGCGATGATGGCTGAAATAAAACATATGTATGAAAAAACCTGTTTGTATTGATGTAATGGATTGTTCGTCACCCAGATCTTTCTGTCTACCTTTTACTTGCTCTGTCTCGCTCCCTTCCCCCTCCCGCTGTGCATTAACTTGTGTGTAATTATTTAGTTGCCATCATGAATACTTTATCGTGGGCTCTCTTTATATAAACGCAGTGTGGAGCGTCCATGTACTGTTCATGCTTCTGCCTTCCTATAGGCAAGCAAACAAAATTCATAGCCATAGGTTGTCATCTCCAGTGGTGTACAGTAACAAATTATAAATACTCAAATTACTGTAATTGAGTAGTTTTTCCTCAGGAATTGTAATGTGTAAAAAATGTGTACTTTTCTCTTGAGTATATTTCAGTGCTGTATCAGTACTTTTGCTCTACTATTTTCCTTCAACCTGCAGTCAATACTTTAATTTTTCTTGTTTATGGTGATTGGCTGAGTAGAACAATCCGTCCTGCGATTTCTGTCCAGTCAAATCGCACATAGAAACTAAATCGCATCATATTGAACAACCTCAAGTTATGGGCGCTTTATAAGTGTGGTTTATTTATTAACTACATTTGAGAGGATCACGTGCTTATGATTGAACACAGCTGGTACCGCATCAGCTCTGCATATTGCACCAATCAGACGAATACTGACACACTATAAATTACCAGAGCTTTCTACTCCAGTCATCTTCGTCTTGAAAAATCCCCCCTTCTACTCCTACTTCCATTCCTACTCCTAACCCAGTGGTTAGCACTGTTGCCTTACACCAAGATTACCACTGGTTCGACCCCGGTCGGTATTTCTGTGCAGAGTTTGCATGTTCTCCCTGTGTTCACGAGGGTTTTCCCAGAGTTTCTCGGTTTCCTCCCACTGTCTAAACACAAGTAAATTGACTACTTTAAAATGGCATCTTAAAGAAACTCTTAGCCAGATATATCTCAGCACGCTCACAAGCAGGGGAGTTCTCGAGACCTACCTGAGCTCAAACTCTCCTCTTGCCCTTCAAACGGGAGAGAGCCCCAGGCTCAAGGATATTCTGAGCTTAGGGCTCTCTCACAGGACAGCATGCCAAATACGCTTTATT